AGTAAATCATGATGATTAAGTAGGTCCGTGCCAATGATGGGCATTGTAACGTCAGCGAGAAGGAAAATCCACCGAATAGGTTTGCGTAAACCTACGTTCAGATAGACGTATTTCCTACCAAAGGTTGCGATTGGTTTTCCATTTGCAGCCTGTAAGTTGAAGGTAGGTTCCTTCTGTCGATCTGCTGCTGTAGCAGGAAGGACGCTGACTTCGGCGCCTGTGTCGACTAAGTATCGAGTCTGGCTTATCACATCATGGATGTAAAGTAGGCGGCTAGTGCCACCGGCGACGGTTGCCGCTAACGCGTGCCGGCGGGATAGTTTCCCACAGACTTTGAGACATTTCCGAAGTTACAAGGCTTACGGCAACACTTCGCTTCTTGGCCATAGGTGTTGTGGTACCAGCACCAGTCAGGGTTTTTCAGTGAACGTGGTTTGGACTTAGATCGACCACGTGAGTTCCTGCGTTGAGGAGATTTAGGACGACGGTCGGAGGAGTTAGAATGCATGTTTGACCTAAACATCTGCTGGATGGAGTTGCATAACTCTATCATTGCAGGATCCTTACTCGAAGTCTGCTTAGTCATCGAGCATATTTCGGGAACAGACCGTTTAGTTATTTCTAGAATCCTATCTGCAGTAATAGCTAAGTCCTCTATTACAGTACCCTGAAGTGTCACAAGTACGGTCTGTACAGACTGTGGCAACTTGGTTAAGAAGAGTTCTCTAAACAGTCCTTCGTCGAACTGACTTTGGCCGACGACTTCTTTCATTCTTGTCAGCATGCTCACGGCTGACTGATCTCCTAACTCGATGTTACGAAATAATTCATCTAGACGTTGTCGGTCCGTGAGAACGTTTCTCCTGAGGAGGGATGCTTTGAGCAACTCGTACGAGTTACTTACCTCGGGACTCAACATCTGTGATGTTACGTACTTGCTGAATTCCCGCGGTAGGGCGTGAATAACTGCAAGTAACTGTGAACGTTGATCGGTTATCCCATGCTCACAAAAATCTGCTTCAGCTAGCAGAAACCACGTTTCAGCATTATCTGGCCAGTATGGTACGAGCTGAATGGTTTTAGGAGTTGAGCGGATACGGATGACCTTGGGACTAAGATCACTCATGACGAAAATTATGTCGAATAATATATGGTACAAGAACAAATACAAAATGGAACGAACTCACCGGGGTTATCTGCGGATTTATCGTGGATGAAGTTCGCGGTTGGGCTCACCAGTTTAAAGGGTTGATGGAATTATCTTACACAGCCTCTAAATTATTCTCGCGTACCGAAAACAAAGCAAAAGCCAATAATTGATCGTCCAAACTTCGTGATATATTTCGGGACCAAAACAAGCCTTCAGACGAACGCTTAGCTAGCTAGTGATCGTGCACGTGACACGACCGGGTACCAAATGGCGGGGATGCTTGACCGGAAGCCTTCAGCTAAACAAGTCGACTTAAACAGTGGTGGTCAGCATCCAATGAGTGATTGCTGTGGTCAATAATTTTGGGGAATTATTTACCGCTACACATCTGATGCACATTGGGCTTTGGAGTGACGATTTGGAGGGAGGAGTCAACCATTTACTGTGTGAATGGATTTCTGTCGGATTATATTAGGATCGGGACAGCACAATGAGGCAACCCTCTGAGGCTTATGTTGCCATCTCCCAAATAGCCAAGGAATACTAAACAATCTTGAAACGTTACAAGATCATGAATTTAAAGGCATCGGTAGTCTGATTGGGGCATTCCAAAGAATGCATAACAGCGGCAGAGGTGGCTTCTCGGCCCTACAGATACGTTGACGGTAACTTTGTGGTTGGATTGCCACGGAGTTATGGTCGCCTAAATCTGCCAAATAATTACGGGATGACCAGCCATAAACTTGTGTGTCGTAGAAGATGTCATTTAAAGCTCTCATCCTACTAAATAGGTATAAAGAATTCATGGTCGAGCATTTATCGAAGAGATACGTTGTAGAATCTGCTGCAGTGGATGTATATCGCAAAGTGGTACAGTTGTAAATACCTCAACATCTGGTTACAAATGCGAAAAAACCTGAGGAGCTGAGAGCAATGTTCTGGGTTTGGTGTCATTTTACTGTACGGATAATTGTTACAGAGACAGAATGCTGTCAGAAATTTACTTGGGATACTTTCCCGCTTCGGAGTTGATGCAATAGCACTTACCGCCGTTACAGAAAAGACTTTCTTCAGGTGAAGTTTTCCCAACATTACGGAAGAGCATTCCGTTCACTATGGTGGACGGATGGAGATACGACCCATAAAGCGGTGGGTTAGTGACTCCATACAACTGGTGGAGTCTGTATTGCCATAAAAACTTGCATTAACAGGAAAAGAAATAGCCTTAGAAAGGCACCCTGTAGCATCCAAATGACACTTGTCTCAATAGCTCACGACCTCGAAAGTTTCTCTATGGAGACATGTGCCCTCAGAGTAGAATGTTGTTGATCAAGTATCTCACCAAGTACTCTCTAAAAATGAATACCTTAAGGTATGGTATGGTGCGAGGGCCCGCTATTCCTAAGTCGCCCAAAATCTGAATCCCCGGTGTCAGAAATAACCATGGAACCGGGTTACGGTCCGATGGAGATAAAGACTATGGCTGTGGTAAATGTCAGCATTGATGACTTTCGCTTTAAGAATATTCTGTAGCACTTCTCAGAATAGACCAGGTTATCTAAAGCAATAGTTTGGTAAGCTCGATTCAAGTGCTCTTCGCTCGTAATGCGTTTTTCTGGGAGTGATACATCTCTTAATTCAGGTCCATTGAAGTTAGGTGAATTACACTTAATAGTTTGGATATCATATTGTAACAACAAAAGACAAGGGCCGGCAACAGACTGTTTTATTACGGAAATCAACACTTATTTATATATATTTCCTGTACATTATTATAGCTTATTCATGTAAACAAACGCAGTCTTCTGATTGGTTGTTTCGGGTAACCTCGAGAATTGGAGCCATCTATCTGAGAATCATATTTGCCCACGTTAAGTCTGCTGTGATTGATTGTTGAATCAGCCTTGCTCACATTTTCTCACGGCCAATATTATTGACCTAGACATTGACGTAGATTAGTGTCTGCCAATTGGCTAGCAGCCTGCTCTCACCACAATATGAATGATTCAGTCGGTTGAATTAAGAAAGTGAATTGTGCTGCTAATGCCGCCAGGTAGTTTAGGATCGCGAAAATTTAATTCGCCTCCGCGTGCAATCAATCCTATGCTATTAAACGGTTTAACCTATGTCGGCGGTCTAAACTCGTCTTAGCCCAATGAATGGAAACATGAGATAATACTGCCTTCAACACTAAGTCACAGAATTGATTCTAAGACATTGCCACAACGTAGAAGGGCATGTAGGTGCTACACAGGTACTGGCGTCTGTGAGAGGAAGTTTTTGGATATCACGGGGGAGTATAGCAGTGAGGAAGATCATTGGATAAGGTGTGGAAGAAGAAATACTAAGTCAGAGTTCCGGCTGATAGCACCCATACCGACGATCAGAAGCGAGGATATCTGTCCCTTCTTCTCAGTGGGTGATGGCCGCTTTAGCCCGATAACTTGATACTCGGTAGGAGGTCTGAAAAACGCTAAGGTTGTATTTTTGCTTGCCAGAAATTATGAGCTGTGCATCTAGAGGTAGCACACAGTTTATCCATGTACTCCTTTATAACGGCGCTGATTAGGTGTATTGGTGGGAGACGACATCCACAGGAAAGATTCAGTGACCATAGAACGAATTTTTAAGCGCGTAAAGGGAGTTAGATTAGTACTAAAGAGAACGGAAACTAGAAAAAATGCATAACACACTAATGAGTAGAGGTAAAGATTATCATTTCAGCTCACCACCTGCAAGCCATCAGGGTGATTTTTGAGGACGTATGACCAGTATTGTACGTAAATTTTTCGGTGGAATTCTTAATGAAGAATGGTCAACTGATGACGACGTACAACTTTACCAATAGAAGCTAAAAGTTCTACTGATAACAGGCTTCTTGTTCCACTTAACTTGGACACTGAAGACCTCGAAACGTTATCTTCTGCTGGGCTTCTGTTACTAAGACACAACTCGGTTGGTATAAGTGTAACCTTCTTTGTTGAAAAGTTCCTAAAAAGCTAGAGACAAACTTACTATGTGTTTTGGAAACGTTGGTTCCAGGAATACCCTCCTTGTTACAATAGTGACACGAATGGGTGTACATAAGTGGTAAAGTATAGGTAGGACAGTTATTTATTGTCGAAGCAGAGTTTACAGGTGGAGATCAATGGAAAATTGGGCTCATGCAACGATTGCTGCGAAGTGAGGGTGGTTAAGTCACATAAATGGAGGCGAAGGTAGTTAGGGATGTATTGAAGGTTGTCAGGAAAGCCTACTGCAAACGCCAGAGTAGTTATGTCCACTCAAACACTTGATTGCTTGCTACTCAGTGCTTCCATTGTATACGCTGACACTAAGTGGAGAGATGTGAACCACTACATTCACAGCAAATTAAGTATCTGATTTTATTTATTTTATTTTTGGTTGCAGCTTGATTCCACACCGTATTTTTGGTACAAGTATGGAATTTTCAGTGTCGATATCGGTAGCCCAAAATTCGCAGGCCGACCATAGATATCAAGTGTGCGTCGGCGTGGGCTCGAACCCGGACCATGTGCATGGTCGGCGAGAGTCCTAACCACTGTGCCACTGACGCACTGATTTTCAGCTGGTCAAAATGAATGCCTTAATAGGAAGCACCTGCAACCCTTATATCTCAGAAGTCGTCTGATATGACCTTTATCGCTATGTCGCATTTTCTGTTTAAATATCTTAAAAGCATCCGTTTGAAACTAAAAGCTTTTTATTGGTAGTGACTACACTTCAATAGGTTTCAATTATCTTTCATTGAAACCTTTAATCTCCTCTTCGTTGTGCAGAACCTCGGTAACTACTAGGCGGGGAATTAACTTCATGAATTTCGATACAAATGGGAATTTGTGAGTGAACTCATTGTGCCCAATGTTCGATTAAATTCTATTTAATTTTCTATCGTTTTACTTAAAATATTTGATTTTTTAAATTCTCAAGTCTTCTCTGGGTTATAAACTCTCATGAAAGCTAATTGGCCATAAAGTGAAATTAATAATTATATCATGTCTCGAACTGCATCCCTTCCTCCTTTTTAACTGATATCTGTTTATTTAACTATCAGTAATTGGTGTAACTGTCTGTTGCAAAGTAAATGACTTCAAAAAGTCCACGATCGTCCACAAATTGTTGTTATAACTAGAGTAGTATATGTAGTGGATGATCTCAGTTTAGGAAGGTATGTTTCAAGGTGTTTGAGATTATATTAGGCATTTGTAACATTCTGTACTCACTGTTGCCTTTTCCCGAATGATCGTGTAACCGAAAAATGATTCTTTTCCGCTGAACTCAGTGTTTTCCACCATTATACTTATGCATTTGTTCGACAACCGGGTTATTAAATTTTACTGGTTAACTGCCTAATTCAAAGCGTTGTGTATACCTGTATTATTCTCAGAACTAACAAAAGTGTTCAGATCTTTATGCGTCTAGATCTGCCACATATTTAAGTTACACTTTTATTTGCTTTCATAGTCAGTTACAATACTATTCAAGCTGTACATGCATCATAAGCAGATAGTAAGGACCAGTGAGTAGACGGTAAATTCTCATTGTATATTTACTCAGTTGACAGTATTGGTTTTTGTCAGAATTCTTGTAGCGGTTATTAGTGCACATTGTAGTCATTCTTGTCCATGTTCAAATTACCTGCAGATGGAATTTCAGTGTGATATTTACGAACAAATACTCAATAAATAGCATATTTTTTTAAGTGACAAACCAGAACCTACTACTTCTGTCTGACACCATTTTAAATTATAAATTCATGTAAAGCCTTAAACTGTGAATCTTCGGACAATTTTTATTCCCATCACTTTTAATAAACACTCTTGTCTAGTAAAACAGTTACGAAGATAGATAACAAGGTCTAGTGGGTTTGTATCTAGACACATGAAAATTTGGCAGTAAAAAGCAGATGTTTATCAGACAAATTTTTAAGTATAAAGTGATAATACATATCAGTTTTTGACACTGGCTTGATATCTGGCAACCTATCAGATTATCTAATTTATTGCTTGGCGGTTCGCCCCGATTAAAGTTACTGACGTAAAAAGAGGCCACTGAAAGAAAAAAATGATGTTAATGCTCTTAATCAGTCTTTTATTCGCTCTCCTTCTACTGTTACTACTTCTAACGTTACTAATCATGTAGCTGATAATTTTCATGACTTTAATACTCTCGATGTTCTAAAATTTCTTAAAACACTTAAGCCCTCACGTAGCCTTGGCCCTGATGGTATACCTGCGTATGTTCTAAAACAATGTGCATATGCTTTATGTTCTCCACTAACTAACATCCTAAATGCTTCTTTCTCCAAAAAAGTTGTACTTGTTCCATGAAAAGACATTAAAATAGCCCTTGTCCCTAAACCTGGCAATAGCAAGAACGTAAAGTTCAGACCCATCGCCATCAGTTCCCCGTTTCTAAAGCTTATTGAAAAACTAGTACTTCTTAAACTTGAAACCTCCCTTAAAAGCTTCGAAGACCCCGAACAATTTGCCTACAGACAGGGTGGGAGGACTTTAGACGCTGCAGCCGTCTTACACAACAGTATCGTTTCATCATTAGATAAATGTGCAAAATACATCCGCTGCACGTTTTTCTACTTCACTTCTGCTTTCGACTCTGTACCTAGATGTCTCTTGCTGAATAAGCACTGGCTGACACAAACTGAGTCCTGGTTCACTAACTGGTAGCATTCCTACTTCTCTAACAGAATGCAATATACCGTATACAAAGGCAAATCCTCCTCTGCTGTGCTCACTGAAGCTGGTGTCCCCAAGGTGCTGTACTCTCCTCCCTTCTCTTTTTTTCCTTCTACATGACTTACCATCTTCAAATAACATGAATTTTGTCAAACATGCTGGCGACTTGACTGTATATTTGCCTGTCAAATGTCAAAGTGACTGCTGCAAACTAAATGGCTTCATATCAGAAATCAGCCAGTGGTTCAAGGAAAACGTTCTTACCTTAAACCCCTCCGAGTGCCAAACAGTCAGTTTCAGCTTTAGGCATAAATCTGACCTAAACAAACTGGTTGGCGCCCACGAGGTGTGCAACATAGATGACACTGAAATACAAACCAAGTCGGAAATTAAATACCTAGGTGTTACTCTATCTTCTGATCTTTCCTGGTAGTCTCATATATTGATGATTTCTAAGAAAATATTCCGTCTTACCTTCTTCATCAAGAATTTAAGACATTCTGGAATAACCCAACCCAACCGTTACTCCTACGATTCGTTAACTCTTGCATCCTGCCTATTATTCTCTATTTTTCCCCCTTAGGTTTTCCAGGGCTACTGAAGAAAGACTATACCTTACTACGCAGGATGTTAAAGGTTGTCAGCAGGGTAAACTACGTGCCACTTAACCAGCTTGTTAATATTCTGGTTGACAGGCACACGGACTAGTGTGAAAAATGGGCTAAATCTATTCTATTTAACTCACACCACCCTCTTCATTCAAAACTCTCCCCTTGTATCTCATCAGGCAGAACCAGAAGCCTATATAGAAAACTATATGCTCGCAGTAGCAAGTACAAAAACTCGACTATACCCTACTTAGCTTGTGTTCTGTGCGATAAAGAAAGCATAAGGCGTGAAACTTATAAATTTAAAACATTCTTCTTCGTTCTTTCACACTCTGTATATCTCAACCTTTTTTGTTACCACTGATGCCAGTAAATATGCTAGTAGTATCTACTTTTCTAACACCTTAAAACACTGTTCAATTTTTGGCGTTGCTACCGACATGCCAATATGTTGTTGTCAAAACTAACTGAGATTACCCTTAATCTATGTAGAATTTTATTTATTGTTAATGTATAAACTGAATGGATGCAATATTGTAGTAAAATGCTGAGAATTCTATTCTGTATCACAAGTACTGTTTTGGAATAAAGCAAATTATTATTATTAATCATGAAATATCAGCTGCTTTGACGATGGGCGCCTTTGTATAGTCTCCTACACTATAAGGAGCAATATGGTCAGCAACAATTAGAGTGAAAGAAAGTTGGTCGATGAGACAAAAATACGGCATCATTCAGTGAAGCCTTGTTTTTTTTGTTTCAATCATGTCTAGCAACGCTGACTGACTCATTGGGGCCCACGAGATGTAAGTCAGTTGATCAGATTATGAAGCTACATCAATTTTTTATTTTTGCAAATAAATCTTTAGTATTTATTGTTGTAGCGCAAATAAGTTTACATAAATATATGTGAGTGTTCAACATGTAACTTCGAACTCTACAGTGAGATGTTCATCATTTCGGTGTATCCACTTGGTTAGTTGAAATTCTACTCTAGGCGTCATAGTAACTGATTTCATTGTACGAGTTGATCACATATTAATATCAGTTAGAGAACCAATGGAAAGCAGCCACAAGGAGCACTGGACAGCTGCTTCATCCTAGTTTGAGAATCATCAGCACAACACACCCGTCACAGGGGGGTTCGAACCCAGAACCTTCCGGTTACAAGGCAAGCTAGCTTGTATACCATTTAGCCGCTGGAACCCGATCCAATGGCCAACCTATGAATTCTAGCTTCTACCAACTCGTGATTTGGCGCAACCAACAGTGGCTGAATGGTATACGAGCTAGCTTGCCTTGTATCTGGAAGGTCGTGGGTTCAAACCCCCTGTGGCGGCTGTGTTGTGCTAATGATTCTCAAACTGGGCTGACGAAACAGCTGTCCAGTACTGCTTGGTTTCCAGTAGTTCTCTAACTGATATCAATCCGTGATCAACTCGTAAAACAAAAAATTTACTCCTTATAAACGAACTATAGAAGATTTCATCATACTTATATGTAGCTGTTTTGTAAGACTCACAATTCTCAGTATGGACCTATCGATAAGAGAAGCAGAACTTTTTAGAAACATTTTGCCGCGTAAAGCTCTTTCGTCGTAATTTGATGGATGTCAAATAACATTGGAATCCAGATTGCTTATATTGTCTAATTCAGAAGTCACTAGCTAGAGAAAATTGCAAACACCAGTGTCTTATGGTGTGCCCATTGGGAATGGAACCGAGCACCACTTTCGTTTCAAACGTCAAAGTGTTATCCACTAGACCACATGAACATCCTGGATTCTAAAACTAGTCATTATATTCCAAGCAGCATCACGTTAATACCCAGACATCATCTATGCCTTTGTAATAAGACCTGACATGTGGTTACAGAGCAGACAGTTTGTTTGCTCCAATATAATCAAAGAGCAGAAGACACAGAATTAAAACTAAACAAACTGTTTTGTTGGAATTTATTAGTCAGCGAGATAAGTGATAATGTGACGGAATAAAAAGAAGCGAAAAATTACGTTTTTTGACTGTCTGTCTGTCTGTTTTCCACATAGAACTTTGCACAAATGTGTGGAAGTTCAAGTCGCCACATTCGTGTAGCACGCGAAGCAAGAGAAGAAAGTACAAGAAAAGCATAATAGAGACAGTAAACAGAGGTGTGAGACAAAGGAGTAATAAAGAAATACAAAACAGTTTCATTGAAGATCATAAGTCACAGGGAGTGGATACATCTGCGCCACTGAGAACGATTTTGAGCCATGTCACCAATTGTTTCCAACCATAGATGTTTACCGTCCCGAGGACCCCAGCCTGGAAGTCAACGTGCTCTACCACTTCACTTCCTATTTTTAAACTAGGCGTCGATGTAGTCCAGTCCTGTAACATCATCTTGCATTTGGCGGGAGCGAATCGCATGCCAAACATTCGTAGATTGCGGCTCAAGGTGTTTAGAAGACTCTGCATTTCGTCAGCGTCTTCGCCTAGAAGGACTATATCGTCTGCATATTCCAAGTCAACGAGATTATTCCCCGGTAGCAAGTCA